TTATTTGTGGATTTATCAAATGAAGCATAGCAATTATTACAACCTTAAAGATGACAAAATCAAGATGAAGATCCTTAAGAACAACATGTCCTTCCACAAATAGATGGCAAGATACAACATCTTTGATATTACAACCTTAGAAGGGACTCCAAATATTTGGTGATTTTATTAGAGACAGGAACAACTCATGACAGTGTTTCAAATGTTTTATTTGAACAAAGTTACAAATGCTTCAACAATGACCAAATAACAAGGTGGTCTTTTAGCCTTGCTTTAGGAAATTATCAATGGCTGAGAGGACCTATCAACCATTGTAAAAGAGAACAAAGATCAAACTATGTGGCAAATACAATTTGCAACATCTTAGAATTTATTAATACATGATGATTACACTTTGTAGAAGTCATCTTTAAAAAGAGAAGTAATGTCACGGATATATATACATACTCTAATAAATATCTATATGATTAAGTAGAAGTAAGTAAAAATAGATAAAAATAGATTAATTTTATAATATCTTCTAGAAAAGCTTTCTAAAAGCTTCATAGATGTTGTTTTGACTTTACATGTATTTATAATTGATTGGTAGGCTAGAAACTTGTTCAACAAGTTAACCATGTATTGATAGCTTGTAGAACAAGCTAAGTATGTGGTATACATATAAAAAACTTGCCTTGCAAGTTAAGATACATGTCTTACAAATTCAACATGTTTTGGATGTCCTATAGGACATTGCCATGTAGCTTCTAATTAAGAGTATATATAGAGACAAGAGTGAAGCCTTCTTTATTCTTATCAATGTCTTTTTAGTCTTTAGTCTTATTTCAAGACTTTCTAACCTTCTTGTTTTTGGCAATAGCTATTCTAGTGCAATATTATATCATCTTTGAGTGACTTTCTATTTTTTTTTATAACACAAGAGTGTATTGAGGATTTTCTTTCTTCAAGATTCATATGCTTGACAATAGCTTAGTTCACGAATGTCATTCATCTTATAGTCTTTCAACAATTCTTCCATGCATGTTATAAAAATCTTAAAGCTCTTGCAATTAATCAATATATCACTGATATATATAATAGATACAAAGACTAATTCATTAGTAAGCTTTATGAATAAGGTAAAGATTAAAAATTAAATATTTTTAATTAAAGAATAAGAAAAAATTACTTAAGTTTTTATCTATTTTCTATAATCTTGCTTTAAACCATATAAGGTTTTTTACAACTACAATTTCTTTCCTTTGCATTCTAATTGAATTCAAGTTCTTTAAAAATCTTCATGCATATGTATTTTTCCATCAATTGACCATTCAAGTAAGTTGAAGCATTATCAAATTATTCTATATTCTTAAAAAAGCTAATAATAATTATAATAAATATTTAATTTATAAAAAATTAAACTAAATATAGAAATATCTTATAATAATTTATATCTGTTATTAAAAAATAATTTTTTAATAATTTGTATCTTATTAAAATAAATATATTAATTACATACAAGTCTTTTTTAAAGAACTCACTTCAAATCAATTACTTTGTTATCATGGAATAAAATTATAAATTTCTAGATTATATATTTATTTAAGGATTTAAATTCTTTTCTTACAAAATATCTCTATTTTTTTTGTTGAAAGAGGATGTTGGAGCTTATTGGATTATTTTAAGACTTGATTCAATATAAAACTATCTATCATTTTAATTATAATATTAAAATATTTTTTAAAAAATCATTATCTATTTTTTTAATTTTATTATATTTATTCATATTTTATACAATATTTCTTAGATTAATACTACTTGTATCATAATATTATAATTAAAGTGGATTATTGAACATCTATATTTGCTACTTGTTGAACCAAATTAAATCCTACTATTGTTGTAAGAATAGAATCGTGTAATTTATATCTACTATAGATGCATGTCTATATATTTTTTGATTTAATAATTTCTAAGATACTAAATAGAAACCTTTATATTTAAAATAATATATTTTTATTATTTATATATATTTTTCTTTATAAATTTTTAATATTTCAACAAATCATTTAGACATTGCTTCATCAAGTTTATATGAGAATTTAATCATAAACTTATAAAAAATATCATGCTTAACCTATTTGATTCACTTCCAATCTCAAGATATTAGTCTTAGATAATAAATAATATATTACTTTCTATCATGGACATAAATATTTACTTCAATAATTATCTATATTATTAAGTAGAAGTAGATAAAAATAAATTAATTTCATAATATCTTTTAGAAAAGCTTCTTAAAAGCTTTATAGGTGCAATTTTGACTTTATACATGTTTATAGTTGATTGGTAGGTTAAAGCTTGGTCAAAAAGTTAACCACATATCACACATGTTGGTTGCTTGTGGAATAAACTAATTATGTAGTACATATTTAGAAAATTTATCTTACAAGATAAAATATGTATCTTGTAAAGTCAACACATATTGGAGATTCTATAGAACATTTTGATATAGCTCTTAGTTAGATAGTATATATGGAGACAAGAGTTGGTAATGTACTTCTAATCCTTAGTCTTGTTTCAAGTCTTTCTAGTCTTCTTGTCTTTTGCAATAGCCATTCTAGTTTAATAATATACCATCTTTGAATGATTCTTCAATCTTTTTGAGTAATGCAATAGTTTATTGCTTTTGGTTATTTGAGATTCATGTCCTTCACACTTATATACCTCTAAATTTTTAGAAAATATAAAAGTACTTTACTATAAAATCATATGTGATATAACTCCTTTCATTCAAAAATAAATGCAATAATAAACTTATATTAAAATTATAAAAAATTTACACTTTTGGAATTATAATACCAAACCAACGTAAAAATTAAATATGTATAGTAAAAAATAAAGTTTAATCATGCTTTGAAATTATGTTATAAAAAACTTAAATATAGATGTAAGAAAATTTGTTATTTTAGAAGCATTTTAAACCTCCATTCAATGCAACATCACCAAATAAGTCTACTTTAGATATAAGACTTACAATTATCTACATATATTTGATTGTATATAAAGAAAAAGCTTCTTCTTGGATTTACAATGTCTTCTTATTTCAAACTACTTTCATCAACTATAAAGAGCTTTTCAAAAAAGTTGAAACATTGTGTCATATGGCTCCTTAAACAAAATAAAAGTCTTAGGAAAAAGCACATTTGCATAAATTGTGATAAATAGGCTCTCAGTCCATACAAACCTTGTAAGTCTAATTCTTATCAACAAAGTTAAGCTTGCCATACAACTCTATATTCATAGATTTTGACATGTGCTTATTATAAATAAATAAATAAAATTTTATTAGATAAATATTTAGAATAAATTTGTAATATATATATATATATATATATATATATATATATATTTACTGCAAATTAGAGTTTTTCTTTAAGTTTTTGGAAACAAAATTCAAAAAATTGGTCTGAGAAGGAATGTCTGAGGCAATATAATACAATTTCTTGAAAAAAAAAATATTTATTGGTATTCAAAGTTATATTTTTTTTCAAAAAATTATATATATATATATATATATTGCATTTATTTTTCATTGTGATTTTTCTAATTTGTAGAATATACCAATCAAGGTTGTCCCTTGAAGCTCCTCTTACATTAGAGTTTTTCGAAAAAATGGGCTAGTTAGCTGCATTAGATTCAGAAAATAATTGTCAAAATTTAAATGTTTTTTTTTATTATTATTATTTAAACCTTGCTTCAGAGTTTCAAATTTACCTGAAATTTGCACAATGTAGGGCAAGCAGGTAAAGGTATTTTTATATAAAAACACAAACACATGTTTTTGTTTGACTACAAAGTAACTGTCACATGAATGTGTGGGAGTATAACTATACCATGCATTGTTGTTGTTGTTGTTGTAGGAACCCATGTTCATGCAGATTTCTGTTATTAGTATTATTATTATTATTGTTATTTTTAATTGGTCTGTAGTACTTGACCCCTCCCACTCCTTGAAAGCAACAATAACAAAATGGACAAAAAGATAAGGAGGTGGTTTTGTACGTATGGTGGAGGGGGGGGGGGGTGAGGGAGTGGCCATGTCTATTACAATCTTATTTCACCTTTGACACCCTTTTCTCCCCCCTTGGATGCAAAACGAATGAATGAATTACTAACTGATAGATGGACGGTTGTATTATTATTATTATTATTTATCTCACAGACAGTGCACCACACATACAAGTACAAAAACCTGTTGGAATGGGGGAAAAGAGAGAGAGAGAGAGAGAGAGAGAGGATGTGGTCGAAAAGGCCAAGTCTCATACAGACAGGCACCCTAAAGTTGGGTATTTTGAACTTGCCAGAAATACTTTCATTTTCATTCCTATTGTTATTCCCTGGTGTGAAGTGCCCATCAGCTACATGAATTATGCATCAGGCCCACCAAATCATTCCAGCAAAGCTATTGTACAACCCAAAAGGCCCAATTGCTTGCCCTAGTCAATGAGCAAAAACATGCCTAGCTCAGCACATTTTCTGACTGACTCACTCACTGACCAACCCACCTCTCTCTCTTACTTCATACAATCCCAATCATTTAACTGTCATTCATTGTACTCTCCCCCTAAAAATACACTCCCAATAATTGTAACTCTATGGCACTCAAGTTTGGCTTTTATTTGGATTGTGTGGGTTCTAAAATCAGCACAATGGAGGTCTCAAAATAACTCACATTAGTGAAAGAGAACATGTGATCCTTTTGTTATCCACCTTCCTCTGCCACAACAAGCTCAAGAAGTGGCTTATCCTGCTGCCAATGAACAGTTAGCTTAGAGGGGAATTAAATGTTTCCTTTATCCCTTGCACCAAAATTGACGACGACAAGATGAACGTCTTCATCTATTAATTGGGAACATGCGCACATCATGGAAGATCTCATCCATCGGCTTCTAATTTATTATTATTTTTATTTTGCAGACGACGTCTTATTAAACTCGTTCCTCAGCCGTGAACAATCCGCAGCGTGCTTTCGGATCCGTCGTCGTCGTCGTCGTCGTCGTTCCGTCGTCTCGGACGATCGGGGATGTTTGAGGAGGGAATACGTGATCGTTCGACGCAATTATTTGTGAACAGGAGATGGGAGGAAGAGAGAGAGAGAGGCGACGAAGAGCGGTAGGGGGAATTTGCCATGACAGCAATGTGAGCGACCTTCCACGAGAGTATAGACGCTATCACGAGTCAGTTAGTGTACATCAATTTGCTGCTTGGCCATGTTTTTGGTGCCTCTCACCTCCCTCGCTTGACCTATTTTGGTAGTGTTTGGGATTGGCAAGGAGAGATGGTGATGCGTCGTGTCAAGGAATGATGCGGAGTTGTTGTGTATGGAGTGGTGTGGGCATGGAGACCCTGCAGCAGCTGTCTGGCGATGTCTGTGCGCGCTTTTGGATTTGGCGCAGGGAGGAATGCCACTTCGGAATGTTTGGTTAGAGTAGCGCGTTTGATACAGCCAGTCGGAGTGGCGTCAGCAGCATTGTAGTGCTCGTGACTTTGGTGGAGCCGTAAGAGGTGGATCTGAGAAAGATTTGACTGCGCTTTTAAGTTTACTGATAAGAGCGCTTGGCAAAATGGACGCCCTCGAACGTGTTCCCGTGGAGGGAGTCACAATGGAAGATATTAAAGCTTGCCAGGTTTGTGCTTCTGCGTTGTGTTGTTGGACCTTGTATCTTCTCTGGGCTGGAGTGAGCTTAACGTAGTGTACTATTCCGAAGGGATGTTTAGGCCGTCATGTATATATGCTCTCAGAAATCGCGAATTATAGAGGTCCTATTTGTGCAATTCAATTGGACGTCAGCAGTGCGACGAAAGAGACTAATCTTCGAAGGGCATCTCCCCTGTCATTTTTTCCTTCTCCTGTGAAGGCGGACAGGTTGCCGAATTAGCCTCGTATTTTGAGTTAGCATAAAATTCTGAATTAGTACGCGTTTTTCGACTTGTGAAGTGGATCGGATTTGAGTGAACTCTCGAAAGAGTACCTTTCGCCGTATCGGCAAGATTGTAGTACCTCTGTAGTCTGAGTGATAATTCGTTCATAATCACAACGGCCTCAGGACATGGAACTTGAGTCGCTGATACGGATGCTAGACTGTGAAGCTGCTATTTCGGCGTCTAACCTATTGATGTTTCGGGTGAACGATTTCGAATATTTAGGATCAGCATCTGAATGTGCTCAGGCCACTTCCGATCTGATATTTTTTATTCTCTGTATATATTTTTTTCTAGTGACATATTGGAGGTTTCATTATCTCTACAAGGGGAGTAGGATTTTCCGATATTTCTTATTTGTCCAGAGACCTCGGTCACTACTTTTACAATTTGGGATTACACTCTTAGCAAATGTTTGAGAGACACTGATCATAGGTTTATTTCTTCTAAACGAAAGAATAGGAAATGTGGCTTCGTAATGTGCCTCTGTGAATTACGCAGTCCATTCGTTGAGTTGTTATAGTATAACTCTTATCAGCAGTTCTTCTAGACAGTGCGTGATGGCTGTACATTGTGGCCATGACGTTCATCGCCGTGAGCATGTAGAATGCATCTTTGTTGTATTTTACATTTGGATATGGTTAGATGAGAGTATATTTTTTTTTTCTATGATGTGACTGGTCGATGTTAACTTCTCTCATAGAGATTTTGAAGATGTCAAATTCAGATCCCAAGAAATTGAGTTTTATGTGTCAAATGATTTTACAGTTGTTGATCGGATGCCTGTATGGTGAGGGTTCATTGTGCTGATTAATTCTTCGCTTGTGATCGTTGTCTGCTGAATCGACCAGGTGGCGTTCTTTCTTGGATTGATGCCCTTGATAATTTCATGGATCTATGCTGAAATACTGGACTATAAGAAACATCCACCTCTGATCAAAGTGTAAGTTCCACACTATCGTCACATTTCAGCCTGGGTTTTGGCATCAAGACCACGTAGAGATCATCCTAGATGGTCCTGATGCATATTAGCTTAAATGTTTTGCAATTGCGTCATGTAGGATTCATACTTTTATGTTAGCTGTAGTTTTTTGTGATTGCCGCTGATTTTTCCTTTGCTTTTGTGTGTACTCACATTCTGAGTAAATGTGAAGGTTAGGTTTAAAATATTCAATTTCTGAACTTTTGTGCAAAAACGTTTTTGGTAACTATCTAATTTAGCACTTGTTTGTCAAAGACATGATGACATAAAACTGGAGGTGTTGAAAGATGGATCCTCCAAAGATGAGGAGAAAGCCGCTCTACTTGAAGCTGGTCTTCCTATAAGTGGAACTGGTAGAGCTGAAGCCGCTTCAGTACGAGCATCTTTAATTAAGTATAACACTCGGAAACCATATCGATATTAGTTGCATACTTGAATATGTGGCTCACTTTTCTGATATATAGTCAGAATGAGGTCTTGAATTCGGATACTAAAATTCTTAAGATCTGATCTTATGAAGTTAAATTTATCGATGTATGTGCAGGTTTTTGACTTTGAATGAAACCTTTCTGGTGGAGAACCGCCTCACTTTGAGAGCTATGTAAGGGTTCTTACATTCAGAGAGGAATGTGCCATTTAGTCAGATGTATTTTGCATGTGGTGTCTTCTTTTGGTCCTCACACTAGTTAGCATTCAAAATTTGCTTTATGCTTTATTGAAAGCTTTTCTTCTTCTGCCATAATAATTAGCTAAATATTGCTTCAAGTCTTTCTCATCCTGAGTCGAACCAACTTTTATGAGATTTTCTTGTAACCAACCACTAGTGACCATAGTGGGTGACCAATCAACTCTTTGTCGAATTCCATTGTGCTATGTTGATGATTTGAGCACACGTTCGTCAATTTTTTAGTTTTCCTGAAGAAGAAGCTGTTTTACTTTCTTTTGTTTGCAGTGCTGAATTTTTGGGCCTTCTCTGCTTCCTTTACCTTTGCGATCGAACCAACACCTTCTCTGCATCTAGAAAGGTAATTACTGATTCGTCTCATATAATTTATGATTCTATTTTTGGCGGCGTTTATCCAATGGGATTGCGGAGGGGAAGTGCTTCTGGTCGTTTATCAGGGTTTGAATTTTATTTCACCGAAGTTCTCTTACTGTTTCTGGGACAAGATTAAACCGAATTTTAACTTTGTTGTGCAGCATTATAGCAGGGACTTGTTTCTATTTTTGTATCTCTTGTTGGTTCTAGCGTCAGCTCTTACTTCCTTGAAGAAGCATGCTGATAAATCAGCTGCAGCTGGAAAATCTATTTTCTACTTAAATCGTCATCAAACAGAAGAATGGAAGGGCTGGATGCAGGTGTGCCTAGTTCATGAAAATCTGGACTTTTGACTGAATCAGTGCGATATTTTACTAGCCTTCTTCACTTCATCCAGAGGACTTACTTTGTGTTTCTAATGTTACCTTCGCTACAGTTTGTTAGATTACAGCTCGCGATCATCACCTAAGTTTCGGTACCAAATCCAGGTTGTTTGCGACTTGTGAATTGTTAAGAAGAAAGTTTATCGTTAGTTCGATGATTTAACCTGTTCACTGAATTTATAATGTATTATTTACTTGTCTAAAATTTCAGGTCCTTTTCCTTATGTATCACTACTTCGAAGCAAAGGAGTTTTACAATGCTATTCGGGTGTTCATTGCTGCCTACGTTTGGATGACGGGTTTTGGCAACTTTTCGTACTATTACGTTCGAAAAGATTTTAGCTTGGGTCGTTTTGCACAGGTTTGTTCAGTTCGCTTTATCTGTACCAGTTGATTATCTTGGTCTATGAGGTGTACTGCAAACCAGTTATGAGGATGTGTGTTAATTCATCATACATTGTTTCTTGTTTTGTTTTTAAGGAATTGTTAGCACACGTTAACGGTTTTTAGTGCCATGACAGATGATGTGGCGACTCAATTTCCTGGTCTTTTTTTGCTGCATAGTGCTGAACAATGATTACATGCTTTACTACATCTGTCCAATGCATACTCTCTTCACACTCATGGTGTATGGGTGCCTTGGCATCTATTCCAAGTATAATGAAGTGCCAGCTGTGATGACTATAAAAATGATCCTCTCATTTCTGGTGGTGGTAATCGTCTGGGAGATTCCGGGCGTGTTTGATCTCCTCTGGAGTCCTCTTACTTTTCTTCTTGGTAGACCTCCTAGACTGAAGTCCAAGTGCTGTATATCGATTCTTTTTGTGGAGTACTTATTGTATTTTCTTACATCGTCGCAGCTCAGTAGTTTTAGTTAGTTTTCAGTTTTACAGAGCTTGGTACTTCAGAAATCGAGGTTGTCTATATGATGCCAGTACAATCCCATTAGGGTATTATTTAGCTTACGCAGGATTTTGGTTACTTGTGCAGCATATCAAGATCCTTTGGCAAAGAGCCCTGCGCCTTTGCTTCACGAATGGCATTTCAGATCTGGGCTCGACCGATATATCTGGATTATTGGCATGCTCTATGCCTATTTTCATCCTACGGTATGTCGTTTTGACCACCTTCTAACCGTAGAAAAATGGTTTGGTTAGATCCCGTAAGAGTGAGTGTTGCCTTTCCGCTGTGACTTACTACAGAATTGTATTTATTGCAAAAGTTTGTAAGTTTCGCATGATTGAACATCTTTATTTGTGAACTACATGTTTCCAGGTGGAAACGTGGCTTGAGAAGCTTGAAGAGATGGAATATAAAATCAAGTCTGTCGTGAAATTTGCAGTTGTCTCTGCTGCAGTGCTGGTATGTTTGTGTAATTTACGGTCAAAAGATTATTATGAAGTTGTTGCAGTCCTACTCGTTTTTGGTTTTTATTCGCAAAAAGTGTTGAAATGATGTGTCATTATTAAATTTTGATATCGTGCGCTAATTACCGCAGATGGGTTATTTGTGGTATGTTCACATTTATACCCTCGATAAGATTTCGTACAATAAGCTTCACCCTTACACATCATGGATTCCTATTACGTAAGTTTTTCTATTTGATTTCACTTGAATCGTCACGATTGAGCCTCATGGTTACTGGTATCTTGTTTTTCTATTTCTAACCTCAATGATGTTTCTTTTTCAGTAGGCCTTCAAAATTATTTTCAAATGTAATTGAGGATCAAAATTCTTTCGTTCAGAATTCAAGACGAAAAAATTGATTGTATTATCTTGACTTCTGAACTGAACGCAGGGTATACATTATCCTCCGCAATCTTTCACAGTCTCTCCGCAACTACTCTCTTACTCTTTTTGCGTAAGTATCTCTTGGAGATGTTAGATACTTCGTTTTGTCCTATTTTCTGCATCAGATTTAAATGTTAGTATGTGTTTCATGTTCATAAGAGAGATTGTGATGCTTGTCCGTACTGAAATATCTTAAATGGGCTTGGTCTCCAGCTGCTTTACTAATTCTGCCATTACAGGTGGTTAGGAAAAATTACGCTGGAGACATATATCTCTCAATTTCACATATGGCTCAGGCAAGCATCTTTTCAAGTATATTCGTCTACATCTTTACATTTGGGAGTGCACCTATTGTTGTTGCAGGGGTTTTTGCCATTTTCTGTACTCTGTTGCATAGATTATGCTAATGTACCCGCGTTCTGAGTTCGTGTATGTTTTTTCTCCTTTAGGACTGGCGTGTCTAACGGACAACCTAAACTGCTGCTGTCCCTTATTCCGGACTATCCACTTCTTAACTTCATGGCAACATCTGCTATCTATGTGTTGGTAATTATCTTACAAGCTGATTTGACGTTCGACATGTGATTGAATTGTGTGAGCTTTTTGTAATCATCTTTTTATCACCTGATATCTGGATGCCAATATGTTACAGGTATCTTACCGATTTTTTGAGTTGACGAATCAGTTGAAAAATGCATTTGTTCCTCACAAAGACAATGCACGACTGTACCAGATGGCTACAGCTGGGGCAATTGTATGTATTAGCCTGTATGTAGTGGCTCAGCTGGCCATGAAACTCCCAACCCTCTTGGTACGCATCTTCTGTGTACACTTTTGATTGTCATGAATGTCTTTGGTGAGTGGTTTTCTGTATTTACCAGTAAGACACTGCAAAATACAGATGGCACTACAGTCGCAAATATATAACAGTGGTTGTGTGCGCTGTCTGCAGGGTCTCTGAGAAGAGGTGCACTTAGTTACGCGCCCTCTTGAAATTCTTCATGAGCACCTTGTTCATTCATACATTTTAGCATTAACTTATGTAGTTGAAGCACGGCAAAGTGCTCTTGTGATTTCTTCGAGTGACTAGCACCAGATTTGTATGGTCTATCAATTTTTCACCAGCAATTTCCATGGTGACATTCTAATTTAGTATCTTTTGAAAGTAATCCTTTCTTTTCTTAGCATGTCCAAAGAGAGCTTCCAACATCAGTAATATGTTATCAATTTTGCTCCAGAGCCGAAATTATACATGCTCAATGAGGATTTGAACTCCTAAAATATCGTGATCATGTTACAGCGTAGTGATACATAATAGAAACTCTTATATGTTCATCTGTCTACCATCAGTGTATCCAAGCTTTATTACCAAATAAAGTAAACAACGAGCTGTAATAGACTTACGAAGATGTTACAGAAGTCCAGACTCTTCCATTTCGACCTGTATATTATATGGAATCATGATAGTGCATTCTAAGAGCGTGGGCTCTGGTTTGCCTCCGGAATAGGAGAAAGCTTTGTTACAACCTGGCAGGAAAGTACTCTCCGAAACCGCGAGTTAAACGATTTGTAGAAGAAGGCAAAGGAATTCTCGGTCCCGTGATGGACCCCTGCAGAGTGTTCCAGGATTATGTGGTGTTCATCGACATATCGATCCATCTTAGAGCGCATCCTACTACTCTTTATCTTCCTGTGGCCCAGCAGATGGATGGGTCTCATCGACAATCAAAAGCTGATTTGCAAATTTGCCTGATCGCGGCCCAAGTCGACGATGCAAGAGCATACATATGGAGACTGCACACGTAATGCATGGTTTTGAGCTCAACCCACGTCAGCGTTTTTTGACACGCGTCCGCCTGTAAGCTTCCCTTGGCCAAGTGGAATCTACCACGTGGCAAATGCTCGGACGGCTCTGCATAACCCCCTGACGAAGCTTCACTCTCCACCAGAGCATTGGGGAGCTTGAACATGCAGGTTGACAATTCTACATTTGGAGAAGGAACTGTTTCTAATAGTTGGGTTGGCGGGCATACGTAAACCAAGATATAGTGGCCTTGGTGGTCTTGAATCTGTCGAGTTTTTTAGGCTTTTCGGGGAGGCTTTGAAGATATCAGTTTGGTTGGGGAAAGAATTTTGGGTTGTCAATTTTGCGGAGTAGTGAGCTGTTCTGTCAAAGTGACTATGACTATGGGAGTAAAAGATTTGTTGCATCGCTCTCTTCCTGGCGCTGGTCCTTACAGTGAGTCCCGCGTTCCGCTCGTGAAATTTTGGTGGATGATATGCTTGGAATTTTGCCGTGATCTGGTGTTGTTTTGTGCGTCAGTGGACATGGTGGTTCTAATTTTGGTGTGGGGAAGTTTTTGCGGAATGTGTTGGAGATGTCAAATCCTTTATCACATACCCGAGGCTGCACAGAGCTTGTATAGCTCACATGGTGTGCTGAGTAGTGTTTAGGGCTCGCAGAGTACATCTAATACAAACCTTACAGCACGTATTGATGCTATGTTTTCAATTTTGAAAAGGATATTGTTCAAGTTTAGGGTAGTCAATCCTGACCCAGAGCGACGTTTTGTTTTCCATTCTTTTGTAATATGTAATCCACATTACATGACTAGTTATTTGCTCTGTGATATCAATTTTGAAAGGTACGCGCTTCGCAGATTATCAGGCCAAACCGCCCGATGTAGCAGCCTCGACACGTGTTCCCTCATTGAAAAATCAAGGGCGCACACTACCTCACATTGTTGGTCTCTCACATTCCCATACGTCCTCCGGAGCTCTTACTTTGTGGCGTAGAGATGTCCGTAGCTGGAGCTCACTGCAGTTCAACCCACTCCGAGATGGCATCACTAAACAAACTTTATATGGAAAACCATTAAGAGCCAAGAGCTTGACAGTCGCTGCGGCTGCTTCAGGGAGCCCAAATGGCAGCTCGGAGGGTGAGAAAGCCAAGCCAAAGACGCGTGCCAAACAGGATGTAGCAACTTTGCGAGAAAAGCTTAACAACTTCATAGACAAGTACTGGGGCTACTTGTGGCTTGGTGGACCAATCGTGGCTACAGCTGCAGTTTTCATTCCACCAGCCACCATCCCTTTGATCTTACTCTTGCAGAAAAATTTCTTGGTTGGTCTCTTGGCCACCTTTGGTCTGGATGCCCTCTTCGTTTTTGCAGCAGATTTATTCTTCGTGTTGGCGGATAAAGCTGGCCACCATCAGACAAATTCCGGCGGGTCTCCTCCCTGGATTGGCCCATGGGAGTACACTGGGTACCCGAAGGGCGAGCCCGTGCTCACCAAAGTCGTTGCTTACGCTGGGGTGGCAATTGGTGTCATTGGGGTGATCCTGTCTTTTTTCCTTGGCAAACTAGCAGTGGGCCTACCAGCTTTTGGTTCCTACTTGGCCTTGATTTTTATTCAGGTAATTTTTTCTTCCCAGAATCTTGCTGGAGTATGAGATCGATTACGGTGTGATACGGGTCTACTCTATAAATTCTCTCACCGAATTGATTATGTGATTGCGTATTCTGATATGTTGAGGTGTATTTAAATCACTATCTTTTGGTTTGATCGGTTCTATGAGGATGTCTTTTCAATTGTTAAAATTTCTGTAAAGTGGAAACCCTTCTATCACCTCTCGGTTCAATGTGCCCACAGCAGTAGATGGGGTCAACTTTTTTTGTAATATGTAATCCATATCTTTTGCTGTAACACCACTATATCATGGATCTATGCCTATGGATTAACTTGGTCGCGTACGGTTTCAACCGTGCGGATAGTAGTACTTCATCTAGGGCAATACATGTGATTAACATAGTTTAGCCTCACCTTTTTCTTTTCTTTTTTTTTTTGTTTATTTTTTTGTTTTTTGTTTTTTGTTTTTTTCCCTCCCCACACCAAAATAACGCACCCAATTTTGAAACACGTTCACCAAGGATTATGACTTAACGAGCGAGGTGGCTATTGCAGGTGGCATATGAGAAGCTACTCATTAACGACAGGGTGCCAGCCTATCCTCTCGTCCCGATCGTGTACACAATGTTCAGGTTCAAGCAATTAGCAAGAGCTGCGGAGCTTGTGATGGTAATGGGAGGAGGAGCTCCATTAACGTTCATAATTAAGGCTCTGACGATTGTATGGACATTCTACTTGGCCATGCAATTGATCCAGATTCCGTGGCTTTATTCCACGTGGAATTCCAACAAGGTTGCTTAAGTTGATCACAGAAAGTCCCTGCTTTGTAAAGTTTTCGTACTAATGGTAACTGAGGCTCTGTAGATGGTATTCATGAGATTCTTAGAGGTAGTTTTCTTCCTGGGTTGTTACCGAGGTCTTGTTGGCCAAAATCTTCTGATCTAATGGCAGCATCTATTGTTCTTACTCTGACATTTTGGGTACAATTTTTCAGTTGGTTAGTGGCTGTGATATATTAGAGGAAGAAATTAAGATAGGCTTCCCCAATGTGCTGAAAGGAACTCAAAGTTGATATTATAACCAATCTGTGTGAGTGATGATCTACAAAAATTCTTAGATATTTCCACCTTAATATGACGAATGAAATAATTGACTTGTTTAAAAACTCACAATTCTCATTTAGCTTTGGATGGATTACCAAAGCAAATAAAAAAAAATCATGTGGAAAACCTTGACACATGCGATTATGCAGGATTGTAGACAAGGAGTGGGTTGCAGTTGAGACAACGGCACAGAACCTCTGTTTACGAAATTGACAGGATTGATCAGGAGTTGTATTATTTGATGCTCTCCAAATTTAAATACATCGCAATAGATATGCGTGGCATGTCGGATTAGGGCATTGGTTATACTTGCTGCCCCGAAGTCGTCCAGAATACAGCCAATTGTAGATTCTTAAGCGATGGTACAGGAATGAGGCGATCACATCTGAATATCTGTCATAAACACTGCACTTACGAATCTCCTGTTTGCTAATCGAGAAGATTTTTTCACATGTAAATGTTATCTATGGTTTAAGATTCTTAAAATTAGACGAAGCACCTCCAGTATCAGATGATTGCGTAAACGACCAATTGAGCATGCGATCTTGATCCGGTGCCTTCGCGTCACTCTGAGCAGTCAAGCAATTATCTGTAAAAGAAAAAAGACTACAATTTTGTGCAATGGCACTGGCGGAATATAATGTTGTATTTTCTTACCGGAATCACCAAGATAAAAGTTGAAAGTTTTAATCAATGTTTTATTTTTTCCTCCAGCAACTTTACTTCACTTCGTCTTCCATAGAGAGAATGGGAGTTGGTGAAAAGCATCCAACTTCGTCCTGGAGCCAATTTTTCTCTTGTGCTTCTGCCCTGGGACCCGAGGAAGGGTTGGCGGCTGATGCCTAGCAAAAGGTTTGGACTTCGGAGTCTTTCGCCATGGTCCTTTCCTCGGTGATGGTGGCGTTCCGCTGGTGACTAGGTTGTTCAAATTCCCTGTTGCAGGTGCCAAACTCACTGAATCATCGCAGATATAATTGTGAAGTTCAATCACTACAGAACAATCACAAAATCCTCACCACAGGGTTGATTGGTGACAAGCGAACGCCAATCATTTGTGGCACGTGCGCCTCCCCATATTCTCAAATAAAACAAAAAAAAAAATTAAAAAAAGGAAAAAAGAAAGTGCAGTTGTATGCAGGAACGATACTGTAAATTAAAGTAGGGGAAGTGACCAACCTAATTTTTTAGGACATTCCGGCGGAGGCTGTACAGGCCACCGTTCTAGATCATCACAATAACTATACCACATAAAATTTGATCGCGCCCACTCCAAAGCAATCATTTGCTTGGCAGACATCTCTTGCATTGCATTGTCGTTAAACCACGCCTTATAAGTATGCAATGCGCATTCAGGGGCAGCGATTTGCAGCCTCGGGTCCCAGACACAGCCCTCCAGTTTCAAGTTCGTAAACGTTGCGTCAAATGGGCCCTGAGTGTAATTTACATGATACTGCCCACCCTCTGTGGCCCATGTTGAACCATCCCAGATTGTTGCAAATGCGTTCATTGGCTTCGTTGGGTACGGCACCCCTAGCTCTGGACGAGAGACGTACCTTCGAATTGGGATATCATCAACGAAAAATCTGCAGATCTTCAACATGGAAGATATGAGCGACAACTCCATGCACATGCTAAGATTTAGACCAAGGCACCATCATGGATAGCAACAATTTCAGATATAGAGACAAGCTTGTTTGATTCCGAAAGCAACATTCGGTGTGTTCTGTACATCGGCCGAATGAAACTCACACAATGTGGTGATAAGTCCAAAGAATACTGTAATTATGGAAACCGACTGTGGGGTCAAACCAAAGGTTGAAGCGCTCCTCCCGGCCCGTTCCAGTGCTGCCGTCCGCATAGATGTTGGTCTGGATTACATATGGATGGCCTGGTCGAACTCCGAGAAACTCCAAATCAATTTCGTCATGATTGGAAGGATAAGACCCTCCATTTGAAGCCTGCAAAAAATCATTTTGAAATTCAGTTTGCACTAAAAATGTCGACAAAAGCGGCCACTGTGTACCAAGAACCAATCAGAACAATTATTTGGTTGTACTACCCGGAGTGAACTCTGTAAGCGACTAAAACTGACCATTTCTTCACAAATAAAATGACGACCAAGAAGAGATTCATACGGTATTGAACACCATAACGACCGCCTAATTATGACGAACAGATTAATTTCATTACACTGTTGTGTTGCCCTGTCGTCAACACATATCTTGTAGAATGTATTCAACGATGGATGCGATTTTCCACCACGAAGCAGCTGGGCATTGACTATTTAGGAGGAGTGCAAGTGGAACGGATTAGTGACATCGACAATCACTTCTTTAGTGAATCGGGTCAAGATACTCACGTAGAAGGCTGAAACAATGCCAGCTGAATTGCCGCCGAAACCGCATGGTAGTTTAATTCCCGCACTGAAGAATCCACGGAAAACAGAGTTCTGTGACTTTATTCCTGAGCCTGCAGCAATCGTAGTTGTATGCATGGAGCATATGAAATTTAGAGACTTTAAATTCCACGGTGCACTGGGATTTTAAGGACAGAGGAGACATCCAAGAGATCCTTCTTGGCACCTGATGTGTATCTTTAGTTAGTAGAATCCTGAATATCCTAACCATTCATGAAGCGGAATTTAAGGATGTTGGCTGTGAATGGTTTCTCTTTATCACCCAGTGTAGGCGGAAGCACAAGAAATTAACCACTTGTTCTTAGCATAGTGATCTAAACAAACGTGACATTCCTATGTAAAGTTCATCAGTCACAAGAGCCGTACCTGAGTGGCCTTCCAAACGCAAACGTATCTCACTCCCATCATTGACAGAGCTGTCAATATCTCCAGGCTCTCCAAACATAGGAACAAACTGTGCCTTCTTTGACGAATTTACCTCAAGTACGTGTGAAAATACGCTCACATCAACGACAGGAGGATGAGCACGCTGTAGCGCCGCTGTTGCTGAGATAGCCATTTGCAGGACTAGGACATGGCACACTACATTGCAACTTCTGTAGGCTGGCGAGTAGATAAGTCGCGAAAATTCAATGGTAATGCCCATGCCGTTCACCCCGTTCTTTATCCTGCAGAAACGTCTCATGGACTGGATTGACAATGTCATCGAAGCAAATAGTCTCAGTCCATGAAAACGCAGCCGACAAAGAAAATTTTAAAAAATAAAAAAATTTACGCCAACTAAACTCGAATGAGACTTAATATCTTGCAACAACCTGCAGCAATCAACTCCCCTCACCGTGGGCTTGACTCACACAACAACTAAAGCCCGCACCAGATACCTGGATCATCAACCTTTCCGTCAAATCCACCTCTCCAACCGCCTCACTTCTTCCTCAAAAATCCTGCAATTGAACCAAGACCGCCAGTAAACGATCAACAACAAACCTCCTAAAATTCCTACTCACTCCTCCAGCACCTCTCAATCTTCCAATACTGTACACCAGCCATTATCATAAATCAGACATAGAAAGAGTGTCGAGCACATCGGCGTATCGATGCCTCCACAACACACAAGGTCCAGAAAACGCGTATGCATCAAAATCATGCATCATTCATGTTTATATCATTTAGCCAGTCGTCCCCTTCGCACCAAAGCACACGATTTAACACTCCGGTCACCTGATCATGGAACGATCACTCCGCTGCGCCTGCCTTTCTTCCTTTTACCGAGACGCCGTCTCTATCCACACCATGGTTTCAAGGCACTTGTAAATAAATCCGAGCGAGAATTCTACGGCGAAGGTAGTGACGAGAGCGAGAGAGAGAGCGAAACAAAGAGCGAGCGAGCGAGCTCGTACTCGAAAGCCACATCTCCCATAGCAACCCCTTCCCTGGCTACTTATATACATCTATATATATATATATATTCCTACGTGGAGCTTCTCATCCTCCGTTCACAATTGGTTGTCACCCTCGCCTCATGACTAGCACAGCTTAGGCCGTTCTGACGTGGACTGTGACCGTCATGCCACGTCACCCACCGTCCTTGCGCGCGCTTCCGTCCCGGACGGCGCCAACGGTTGCTGTCGTCGCGCCAGGTCTCGTCACGCAGAGTTCTGCACTGCTGGTCTATTACCGTCTTCCACGCTCACCCGAGCTGTAGTAGCTGTTGCCGTGTGGGGTAGCCTATTGGCGTGAGGGTGTAAGATTATATAGGAGATGCTGGTGATGAAAATGCTGGCTTGGGTAGGGGTAGCAGTAATAAGCTGGGCTAAACAAGGGTAGGTGGAAACGGAACCCCAAGCTCCCCCTGCAAATTCCATGAGTATCCTGCCCTCCCTCCCTCCCTCTAAGACAAGTGTTCCCCATTTTGTATGTGTTTTTGCCCCTTGTTGTAGCCTCAACAACAACTGGACCTCTCCCTTTCCTCATTTCATGGCCCTGGACCAACTACCCAGCTCTATCCTTTGCCCGAAATGATGGATGGCTCCTCCTATTTTTGCAAAATCTCATGGGAGTAGGTTTCATTAATAAATGAAAATAAAAACTGGTTTTGCAGACTTGAAGATGGAAATTTGTTGAGGAAAAAGTAAATAGGGATTTAAGGAAATTGAAAGAAAGAGAAGACAAAGTGTTACTATGGGGGTCTTTATATCTAAGACACAAGGTGAGAGGTTTGTATTTTTTTAAATCCTTTGATTGCTTGAAATCAAGAAGCCTCATTTAGTTGGCTTTGTAGTTGGCAAAGTCAATGTGAAGGTCCTAAAAGGAAAAGATGAGGTAGCATGTACTTTTTTTCTTTTCTTTTCTTACGTGGTGCGAATAGTATTATCTCCTAGAAAGTCCATTGGGTCCTTGTCAAGTGGTGGTTTTTAGCAAAATTCAAGCAGTAGTGTCAAAACTTGCTAAAATAAAATAATATTATACTTTTTAAAAATCTTAAAAAGTATAATTTTATTTACCAAGCAAGGATTCTTGTTAAAGCTTTAGATTGTGGTCATTAAAAGTGAATGACTAAGTACAATTGATGAAAGGACCTTAAAATTTTACCATGTTTATTAGAAAAATAAGTATAACTAACATACTATTTAAAGCCAACAAGTGGATAATAGACTACATAAGACTCTTTATAAAGATTGGTTTGTTACATTGTATACATCTTTAATACAAGTTTAGAAGAGGTTTTTCCCAACCTTTTTGAAAAGTAGATGGAGATTTAAAAGACTTCATGTATGTTTAAAATAATTTGACTTATTTTTGGTTTTACAAGTTTTACAATGGTGCTATTACACCATTAACTTGCATGGGCTAATGTCAACAATACAATTGATATCTTGACAATAAATTGAGTTGTTGTTCATAAAGCTATTTCAAAAAATAAAATAAATAAAATAAAATATATTAGTTTGCTTTCAGCTTTATGTATATATTTTAAAAATAAAAATAAGAATATTATTATTTTGAATGTTTTTTTCTTTTTTCTTTTTTCATTTTTTATTATAAAATTATTGTTTAAGAATTTTTTAATTTTTTTTTATGAATATTTTTAAAACTTAAAAATCTCAACATTCGGATGCCTTAAATAGTAATCACGTTTAAATAAAAACTAATCTTCAACTTAATTTATTCAAGTTGACTATCTTTCTTTCTTTCTTTCTTTCTTTCTTTTTTTTTTTTTAAATATCAAAACTATAAATATGACTTAGATCTTCAAAAGAAAATAAACACATACAAAATCAATACTCTAGCTGATTTTATAAATACAATAGAAATTCAAATTATCACAAATCATTACACTGTAACAAATCAAAATCATTATCACAAATAGAAATATGAAAATTTGAAAATTTGCAAAAAAACGGTTTAAGTGCTATTTCTTTTCAAAATCATAAACCCTTTTTCATATCTTTAATAAAAGAGAACAATGTAAAGAGTATGCATAATATATGTCATTGAAAAAATAAGGAACCAAACTTGCTAGATAGACACCCATCTTTTACTTTGTAGATAGTCCCCTCATACACACCCATACAAAAAATAATTAATTGTGATTTAAAATCATGATTCATATTATGTTAATTAATTTAATAATAAAATTTGATACTCTCTTATTCATACATATTCTATGCCTTTGTATTATCTTAATTTTTAATTTTTTGTCCTTATAAATCTTGGTGAAATTAATTTTTGAAAAATAAAAAATTATATTTTATTCCTATTTTTATTTTTTTAATGTTATATATATAACTAAAAAATATATTTAATTTTAAAATATTTATTGTTCATAAAAATATTTATGTGGAATGTGTCTATGTAGTAAAAAGAAAATGTCTACCTAACAACTTCTACTTTTTATTTTTTATTTATTTTTTAAGACTTATATAATTATTCACTCATAATGAAAATCCTACTTTGTTGTTGTTGAATTTTTTTCTATATTATTTCTATTATTATTATAATTTTCCATAGTCTAGTTTATTGGTAAGATCTGAGAACATCCTCTAGAGTACAAAATGAGATTCTAATGGACAGCCACATGGACAGGTACAAATTCAAGATCATTCACTATTGGCTTTCTCACCGATAATTGCAAAGTCAATGACACCTAATTCTTGAGTTTCTATAATGCGGCTCTTTAGTGCTCATTCTTCTAATTTCTAGAATAGATTTTATTTTTCTTTTTATTTTTTATTTTCTCCCATGCAAACACCACAAGTTCAATATTCCTCGCATTGTTATGGTTATTTCCTGCATTTCCACAATGTATGGCATTTAATTTATTCATTTGATGTTGATATAGATGATCTTGTAACTTCACCTTTCAAGGTACTAGAATAGTAAAGATTAAAGCGGAAGAAATTGATTGAAGAAGAAATATGCCAAAAGTTGAATATTTTAGGTACATGAGAAATAAAACAAGAGTAGTTGAATAGTTTTGTGTGTGTTTGTTTTTGTTGAATGATATCATATTATTTGTATTGCAAGCTGGTACTTATCTAGTATATAATAAGTTCCACTAAGTGCCACCTCTCCCTTTGTTCCGACACATTAATGTTTGTAATAAGAATTAAGTTCCATTTTTATAACATGGTATCAAAGTCATGGATGAATAAGTATTGTAGATGAAAATTGTTGGATAAAATTTTTGGATGAATTTTATGAATAATATTTTTGGATAATTTTTTTGTGGAATAAAGTACTCTCTTCATGTTGTTGTCGGAGCCTTATAGTTGCATTGCCATTAGAGCCTTGCTTTGCTATTGTTGTCAATTTTAACTTTTACTAGAATTGATCTATTGTTGGTGTCAAAGAAATGTTGTTTTATTCCATCATATCTTACTATCACTACCCTCCATTATTGTATTTTATACAATAATTATTAATTGCTATTCTATAGCTACTATAAGATTTATTATTATTGAATGATCTTATTATTTGTTGATATTGCATTTGTTTTTTTGGCAATGGTATTATTTTCAATTGACCATTGCATTGATTGGTTGTATGAGAAAAACTATGAGACATGGGTATTTATTATGAAGCATTTGATGTGTATTTGTAAATTCTACATTTATCTAGACAAGACATTAATGTTAAGCTTTTGCAATTGACTTATACATGCAAATATAAGAGTGAAAAGAAGATGTGGGATATTTTAACTAGAATCTACAAGCCCTTGAGAATTATTATTTAAATAGTTTTGATGAAGATACTTTACAATCTTTGATATATTAATAGAGAATCTATGGAGAATTTTTTTAAGAGATTTTTTATTTTAGGAATTAATGCATACAATCTAGTAGTGAAATGGGCAAACAAAGCATATCATTTCTTATATTTATTGAAGAAGTACCATCTATGATAAAAGTAGAAGTCTAATATTGATAAGTTTAAAAGAAATTATAGGATTACTAAACAAAAAAAACATTAGCAAGGTGATGCAAAGTATCCTAGAATGAACAATAGTGATATAATAAATGTTGGAGTTGATATTATTTTTTCAATCTAAGAGGCATCATGTAACTTACAAATAATAATTATACCATTTATTCAATCACATCATTATGTTTGTATTGATAATATAGCAAATATACACATACAAAGAAACAAGAGTAAGTTTTTGAATTTTAATAAAAATGAGACTATCTAATTCTAAGGCTACAATGGTGCCATTAGCAAATTACAAGGCTCAAGAAAAATACATCTTCCAATTTTAGATTAAAAAAAAAAACACATTATTATGGTTCTTAGGAATGTACATTAAATTCTTTAAGTACATGATATTCTCTTAGTAGCCGCAATCTTATGTATGAATGTTTTCAAATTTAGTTTGGATGACTATAAAGTCAATTGGATTCTTCTTTTTGGTAACTTAATATTAGGAGGTACGCTCAACAATAAAGCTTACTTTATGCCTTGTGAAATTGAAGAAGTTCTCACAATTGATAGTTCATCTATTTTGTTGTCATACACTGATTGAATGATATTAAATATTAATACATACTTCAATACATATGATACAAGAAGTGAAGCAAATGAATAATATTGAAGATTTAAAGATCAAAGGTGGAAAAGATAAGATACCAGCATGTGAATTGTGTATTATTAGTAAGACCCATAGGCAACCTTTTCTAAATAAATACAAGCATGCCAATAGTGTTTTAAATGTAATAATGTTTAATCTTGGTTATTCTAAAATAATTAGTTTTGGTGGTGCCAAATAATTAGTTGTGTAGATTGATAAATACTTTGTTTATTGTAGCCTTGAATTTCTTCAAAGTAAATATTAGATATATGTTGTTAACAAGACTTGGGAAGTAGAAGCACAAAGAAGAATCAAAAGAAAGGTGAATTTTTTTTATTAGTAATCAATACACTAAATTCTTGAATTATAGT